TTGAAAACATTTTTAAGAAATAAAAGAATTCAGTAGGTGGTTGATAAGAAATCATCAGCAAACATAATGGAAAATTTTAAATCTTACAACAGTAAATGAAAAAGATTAAAATACTCAGGAATATACTAAATAAGAAATGTGCAGGACCTTTATTTTTATTTATTTATTTATTTATTATTTATTATTGAGGTATAGTCAATTTACAATGTTGTGCCAATTTCTGGTGTACAGCACAATGCTTCAGTCATACATAAATATACATATATTTGTATTTATTTATTTATATTGAAGTATAGTTGAGTTACAGTGTGTGTTAGTTTCTGGCGTACAGCTTAGTGATTCAGTTATACATATATGTTCTTTTTCACATTCTTTTTAATTATAGGTTATTATAAGCTATGGAATATTGTTCCCTGTGCTATTAGAGTAGGACCTGATTGTTAATCTCAGGACCTTTATTTCTAAATGTTACAGTTCATCTAAAGGACAGAGAAGACTGAAAGTCTCCACGTTGAAAAGAAACCAATTTCACTAAAATGATCTATATACTCCTGGTAATTCAATCAAATCCAATAATGTCACAAAAATGATCTTATAACATAAGAACATGGGGATAGTCAGAGATCTTCTGAAACAGAAGAACAGTAAGTGAGCATTAGTCAGATATTTTTTTTAATTAAACAGCTACATTAATTTAAACTATTTAGTGTTGGTGCTGAAAAGACAGGGGTATCAATGGAAGAGGCCAGAGACTCCAAAAATACACCAAAAATACTGATGGATACATAGTAGGAAACATGTACAAATGATTATAGTGGAAAACATATCAAATGTTCATTATGCAATATTAGTATAAATATCAACCTATTTAGAAAAAAATAATAAAGCCTACCCTAATTCTTACTCAAAAATAAATTCCAGGTGCAAAAAAGATTAAACATTTTTGAAAATACCCTGAATGTACCAAGAGAAACAGGTACTTTCTCAAATTAATCTTATACTGAGAGAGTCCCTTCTAACGATGATATAAAAACTAGAGACCATACAGTTAAAAGAATTATAAGCATGGCAATAAAAAGTACTTTTGAATAGCAAAAAGTACCATGAGTAAAGATTTAAAATAATAGCACATTGGAAAATATTTACAATACATTTGACACCAAAATGCTAATATCCTTATGATAAGAACTCTTAAAAAGCATTTATTAAAAAGAGAAGCAATCCTAAATTTAAAAAAATGGCAAAGGATATAGATCTGGGAATAAAGAGACATTTAAATGATAATAAATATGAGAAGATGCTCCACCTCACTAGTCATTAAAGAAATGCATATTAAACAACAACGGGATACCATTTTTATCTTAAAAGTAATTTCGTGATGAATATGGCAGGCGGTGGGGAATCTGTCTCATAAATTGGTTGGTAGGAATAAAATTTGGTACAACCCACTTGGAAGGGCAATCTCTCTCAAAATATAAAATGCACATACTCCTTGTGTCTGTTACTGAATTTTCAGGAATTCACCCTGCAGATACGCTCTCCTACGTATGAAAATACAAACGTATGTATTTGTGGCCATTGCAAAAGCATTGTAGGTGTAGCAAAAGTTGGAAAATAAGTCAAATATCCATCAGTAGGGAACACTTAGACCATGATTATATATGCATATACTGTGAAGTATTACTCAGCTATTAAAAAGAGTAAGCTCGGTCTATATATAGTGATACGGGATAATGTCCAAGGCTTATTATATGATAAAGCAAGTAAGATACAGAAAACTGCTTAGCATAAGCCCATGTGTAATTTTTAAAGCATACATGCATGTGTGCAGGTGGTTGCCTACACCCAAAAGTCTCTGAAAGGACAGGCAAGAACGGTAAACCTGATTTCCTGGGCGAAGCAGGACTAGGGGCAAATGGTGGGCACTGTCTTCTTTCATTTTATACCCTTCTCTACTATATAGAGATTAATGGTGATCATGATCTTTTTTTTTATTTAAAAAACTAATTTTTATAATAAATATTTGGGACTTATTTTCTTGTAGTCATGAGTTCCTGAGATCCAGGATATTTGTACCCTGTGCATTATTTGTTGATTATTTAATTCTTATAAAGGGAACAAGGTGGGATATTATGACACCCACTTTACAGGTGAGGAAATGTGCTTTGAGGAGATTAAGCAACTCTCTCAAGCTCATAGAGTGACTCTGTCATGCCCAGGACTTGAGTCTGAATTGGGATCCGTTTGGCTCCAAGCCCGCTGCACAGCCCTGGACACTGGCCTCCAACTTCTCATGACTGATAAGTGCATCAGCATCCGCCAGATCCACAAGGATGACCCTAGGACCTTTCTCTCTGTCTCTGCTGCACATCGGGCTCTGGAGGGGAGGAGGCTCACAAGAATGAGCTATTGAGTGAGTGAGAGGCACATGGGTTTAATAGGCTGAATAATGGATCTGACTTATTTCATCACAAGAATTAGGTGAAAATCAGAAACACCAAGTAAGGAGACAGTGATCAGGCCTTTACTGTGTTCCTTGCTTTAGCACTATCCTGTTTTATGGCAAAACTCACCTCCTCCAGGCTGTCCCCGTGCTTAAACGAAGCCAGTGACTGAGTTTTAACCAATGGGAACCTCCGGGGGAGGTTTTAACCTCAGGGGAAGGACTCCTACCTTCTGGACTTGAATACCAACAAATATTTTTAATGTGCTTAGCAAATAATAAAGTTTATATTGTTTTATACAAGATTTACATAGCTGCCTTTTCCCTTGTAGCCTGGAAATGCCATTCCATTATCTTTCAGCCTTTAATGTTACAGACTAGAAGTTCGATGTTCCTTGATTGGTTTTTCTATTGTAGGGAACTAGTTCTTTTTATCTGGAAGACTGTAATATAGTCACATCATCTTAGGAGTTCAGGAATTTTACTGAAATATTGCCTGGCGAACATCACTGCTCACCAGTCCTGCTTTTAACTTGATGAACCTTTCCTTTTTTTAATGGAGGTACTGGGGATTGAACCCAGAGCCTCATGCATGCCAGGCATGCGCTCTACCACGGAGCTATACCATCCCGATGAACCTTTTTAATCTGCAAATTCAGATCTGTCTTCAACTCAGGACACTCTCTCTCCCGAATCCTTGTTAAGGTGTTCATTATCGTCTTTGAACCACTGTTTTCCACATGTTGAATCTTTGAAATACTTCTTTCTCCCCAAATTTCTCTCTCTTCATAGCTTCCTTCTTTAAATCCTTGCTCTGGACTTTGAGATATATCTCCCACTTGTCTGCACAGTGACCATCCTCTCCTTCAATCAGTGTGTTTACTTTGTTGAGTTGGGAAATCACGCGGTTTATCTTCACATTTGTGGTGCACTTGAATCTCCTTCGGTGTCTGAATCACCAAACACCTGATCTGCCAGCATTTTGATCTTGGATTTCCCAGCCTCCAGAATTATGATAAATAAATACCATTAAAGCCACCCAGTCTATGCATTTTAGTTATAGCAGCCTGATCTAAGACAGAATAGTTATCCCCAAGGCCCCAGCCAACATGAAAATCTCTGAGCCTTAATTTTCTGAAATGACTTATGGTCAAGGAAAGCATTGCTAGGGAAAAATAAAAGGGTTTTGTAATAAACTAAGACATGGGTTTGAGAAGTGGTTATATCTTGTGAGCCTTGTAAATCACTTCTGAAGCAGCTTAAGTTCCTCATTGCTTCCTTATGCTGCGGCCTGTGCCAAAGGATTACAGGATGTCAGCTTCCAGCAAGACTCCTGTGTTGAGAATATTGGCCAAATCTGGGAGGAAGAGAAAATACCGCCTCCTTCAGCTAATTTGTTGGATTCAGAGCCATAACATATCAGAGAGGGAGCTCTTTAGTCGCCACCAAGTCAACCTCCGTCTCCTGATTCGTGCTCAGCCTGAGTTCAAAGTGACTTGAAAACTAGAAACACTGTAGAACAAGAATCAAGACAAATAGTGTCTGATGTTTTCAAAATCAGTGAAAGCTCAGTTCTTCCAGCTACCCAGCTGTTTCAAAAACCACAACGGCCAGCAGCTATAAACACAAGCGATGACCTGGAGTTGACAGTGCCTTAGATCCCACAGAATAAACAAAGAAAGAGAACAGGGGGCCACAGGGTTGGGTCACCGGGCTCTGTGGTCCATGCATCCCTCCCTAATGACCAGAGAGATTTGTGGAGACTGACCATAACATGCACTTCTCATCCTGCCCTAGTGATGTTAATTAAGCCAGCCCAGCCCAGGCCACTTGACGAGCCCCTAATACGTGCATGGCTTCTTCACACTCACTCAGTCGAACACTAGAACCTCAACCATTTCACCAACTTGTCTTCCCTTTCCAAACTTGGTACTGATCTCCTTGGCTCCAAAGCTCCTAATCTCTGCTTATGGAACCAAATGTATCCCTCAAGCCTGTCATTTGACCCAGATTCTCCAGATTTTGGTCTCCAGCTTCACTCCTCACACTCACGCCTGAGTTAATGCCTGTTCCAAGGAACCCTCAATAAACTTGCCACTTAAATGAGCCTGGTCACCAGGCCCACGCCCTGGAATAAGCCTGTCCCACTGAACAGTGCTGGACTGGAGAAGGAGGTCCTTCTCCCTTAGACTTACTTGAAATGGCTGGGATGGTTGAGGGTGATCTGTGCAGAACCTGAGATGCTAAGATGTGAATTTCATCCTAAAGAAAACTGAGAGATTTGGGGGGAAGAAAGAACCTTTGATCAAATCTGCCTATACTCTTGAAAGACCACCCGGAGGCACTGTGGAGAATGGATACACATGAGACCAGAGAAAAAGCAAGATCCATACTCAGGGTAGTAGAGTTACACAGGCAAATGTTGCCATAGGTCACAGCAGGGAGGGTGGAGAAAAGTGAGCAAAACCTAACAGAGTAAGTGAAGTGAATTTGAGAAATACTAGTCTTGAGATGATTTTTAAAAAAGGAGCCTAGGTTGGTAGGTGTAGTAGGTTTTATAGTGTCCCCCCCCCACCAATTCATGTCTATCCAAAACCTCAGGGAATGTGACCTTATTCGGAAATAGGATCTTTGCAGGTGTAGTTAGAGTCTCAAGACAATATTACACTGGGTTTGGGGTGGACCTTAAATCCAATGACTGGTTCTTGTAGGAGCAGAAGAGGATAAAGAGACAGAAGAATGCCACATGAAGATGAGGGCAGAGATGGAGTTCTGTGGCCACCAAGGAATGCCTGGAGCCACCAGAAGCCAGAAGCAAGGAAGGATTCTTAGTCTTCCAATGGAGTATCACCTTTCTGACAACTTGATTTCAAACTTCTGGGCTCAAGAATTGTGAAATAATACATTTCTGTTGTATTAAGCCATCCAGTTAGTGGTACTTCCTATGGTAGCCCCAGGAAACCCAGGAGGGAGTATGTATTTGTGTGTGTGTGTGTGTGTGTGTGTGTGTGTGTGTGTGTGTGTGTGTGTGCAAGTAGGGAGGCAAGAGGAAGGGATAGGTGTGAGGGAGTTGGCACCAGCAATAGCGAGAAACGTGGGAAGGGAAAATGGCTAACAGAGCTCTTCCTGTTTGTGAAGCATCGCGTTAAGATCTTTGCAGGTTAGCTTCATTTAATCTGAGCAATAGCCCTATTCTGTAGGCACGGTTATCTCCGCCTTTTTCTAGATGAAGTAGCTGAGTATTCATTAACTTGTTCAAGGTTACATGGCTTGAAGCCCAATCCAAGATCTGAGCCTATCTGACTTTAAATCTCATCTTCTACTTCTGGGCATATACAGAGATGGGAGCTGGGTTAATAGAACTGTGTCCGTGAGTCTCTGAAGAAGAAGCATGAGATATTAACTTGAAAGATGTTTTTAGGACATGTTATTAAGTGGAGAAAGCTTTGGAACAAACATAGGCACTTGGGCTTGACTGAAAACCAATCAGAAGCCATTGCCTTTTCCCACTTAACTGTTCTGTGCTGACCAGGCAGGAATAACAGGCTGCCTCAAGTCGCACACAGCCAGCCTCCCAACCAAGGCTGGGCAGGTGGGGCAGGGGGGCTGGGTTACAATGTCAACAAAGAAAAGTGTCTTCCTCCTACATGGGCCCCGGAAACTGGGATCCAGAATAAGACCTCCACCAAACCAAGAGAAACTGTTCACATCTGCAAATAATCCCCTTTGCCAAGATTCTGGTCAGTTCTTTTCTGCTGCACACATACACACAAAGATAGATAAAATTAACCAAATAAATGATAAGAGATCACCTTGGGGTGAGGAGAAGCAGGCTGTGGATGGAGAATGAGGGGAAAGGGGCCTGATGTTCTTAGACTGTAAGCGTATCACACACACGGTGCATGTGCACACAAAGTTCACGTGTGCCCATTACACGCACATGTAAGACCCCCCTCATGCACATGCATGCCCGGGAGCACGTGTCTATGTGCACTCACACACACACTCACACAAATCTGTTTCTTTCCTCCAGAACAACTCCCTAGCTTGGTTGGGGGCAGGGAGAAGGGTTCCTGACGAATTTCATTTCTCTGAAGGAAGAACAGGTCTTGTGGCAGAGCCCGACCACTGGGGCAGCTCAGGGGAAGGGTGGGAAGGGTGGAGGCCTCAAGGCGAATCCCTGAGACCCTGGTGAGTGTATGTCCTTAAGTTCAGAACTCTTGAGTCTGTGGGGTGGATCGTGCCTGGGAGAATTCTCAGACCTCTGGGTCGAAATGTGCCTGTTCTAGTCAGGATGGAGGGAAAAGTTCGTTATTTTTGAGAAGCAAGAAGAGGAGGATGCCTCTTTCCACCAAAGGCGGATCGGCAGCTGTCATTTTAATGGCAGTAACTGACAGTAACAGCTTGGTGGCATCATATTTAACGGGAAGGGACCAGCTCACCTCATGCCCTGGTTGCTATGTACAGAGTTCCAAAGAGGCCATAACAAAGGCTGGGAGAGTCACTGCTCAGGGTAGAAGAGCATTGGGCCTGTCCCCAAGGAAGAGGGGCTGGCTTTGTCCAGCCTCATTGGAATTTATGAGCTCTGCAGAGCGGAGTTTGTGGACATGGCCCAGGAGGCAGGCAAAGCCCCATGGAATTGCTCAGCCAGCCTTCACTCCGAGTGGCTTACTTAAGTAGTTATTGAACTTGGGAGAAAGCAACTAAAGAACCCAGGTCTCCTGTGGCTGTACTTAGATGTAGTGGAAGATTTCCTGGCAATTTTAAAACAACTTTGCCTCCATTTTGTCCCCTTTGGGAGTTCAGTGACCCACTAGCAATTGGCTGCTCCTTGGTGGAGGATAAGAAATGAGTCACATCGTCTTAGATATGAAAATGAAAGCTCCAAGCAGATTTCATTAGCCCTAAGGGGAAAAGGAATACATGAGCCAAGAATGAATAGGTCTGAGTTTAAGAAATCAGCAGACTTGTTTTCTTTGCTTCCCACCCCAAAGCCACCAGGGAAGAGATAACTGGAGGACACGAGTGGCTGAAGGGCCCGGAGGTAGGCGTGGCTATGACATGGCCAGGTCCACTTAAGAAGTCAGCACAGCTGTCTGAGGTGATGGCGGAGAGCCCAGGGAAATGGGCTAATAAATCAAGTGCCTTAAGGTGGAGAGATCTGCCCCCAGAAGCCCTCCAAGCAGGAGGGGAGGCAATGGACCTTTGTTCTGTCACTGGCAGGTACAGGGTGCTGGAGTGCCATGATGTCAGCATGGAGGGTTCAGAACTGGGGCTGCAACACAGAGCTCCTGGTTCTCCATCCTACACTGTCCCTTTAATGTCAAGTCATAATCTGTCTGTCTCCTACCCTGCTGTTGTAGGAGGCCCAGTCTTTGACCAGATTCCTCATTCCCAGTATTTCTGAGAATCCCTGAGGCTTGATGGGGTCTCTCACAGGTCCAACCCATCTGTCCCTTGTTGCCTCAGTCAACCATTTGAGGCTGGATCTGCTTTTTGTAGAAGATTCTTCTTAACATCTCATGATCAGTTTCTCGAGACTTGTCACCCTAAGAATGGACACAATTCGAGCCCTTAATTACCCAAGCACAAGCAGGGCCACTCTGCAATATACAGTATCACTTTGTGGAAGGCACTGGCCTCTCACGAAGGACTCTGCAACATGTAAACAGCAAAGTAAATGCTAGATCACGGGTATGGCTATTCCCAGTCTCCATGATAGTCATCCATTCCCCACCCCCCAACCCCTGGCTCTTCAGCATGTGGCAGGGGTCAGTTACTTCCCCTCGGTGAGACTTCTGAGTCACATCTCCCTTTCTTGGAGCCCAGGCTCCCAAATCCTGACTAGCCACATATATATGACCGCCCCCCCCAAAAGAAACATAATCTCAGGGATGTGATCCCAAACTCAATATAGAAAGACCAAATTTTTGCATTACACGCCCAGCTATACTGCACCTTTTTAGGCAGAACATCCCATTGCAGAACAGGAAAAGAAGCTCGAGTCCGCAGTTACGGCAGCAGTAACAACAGCAATAATTACAGCAACAGCCATGGTTTATGCAATACCACGCTATTGCAGTACTAAGGCTACCACTTTATATACATTATTTCCAATCTTTATGTGGCCATTGAGCTTGTTAGATAGTAGTTCCATTTTATGGATAGGAAAACTTAAGAAGAAATAAAGTAACTTGTCCAAGGGTCAAACACTTGGAAAATTTAGAAATAGGATTCGGTTCAAAGTACCATTCAGCCATAAGAAATGACAACGTAATGCCATTTGCAGCAACATGGATGTCCCTGGAGAATGTCATTCTAAGTGAAGGAAGCCAGAAAGAGAAGGAAAAATACCATATGAGATCGCTCACATGTGGAATCTAAAAAAAAAAAAAAGAAAAAAAGAAAGAAGAAAGAAGAAAAAAACAAATGAAAATAAATACAAAACAAAAACAGACTCATAGAATACAAACTTGTGGTTGTCAGGGGAGAGGGTGGGAAGGGGCAGACTGGGAGATCGAAATTTGTAGATACTGACAGGCATATGTAAAATAGATAAACAAGATTCTACTGTATAGCACAAGGAAATATATACAAGATCTTGGGGTAACTCACAGTGAAAAAGAATGCGACAATGAATACATGTATGCTCATGTATAACTGAAAAACTGTGCTCTACACTGGAAATTGACACAACATTGTAAACTGACTGTAACTCAATAAAATAAAATTAAAAACAAAATAGGATTCGGTTCAAGATACTCCAAGACACAGAACCAGTATGAAGGCTGACTCACTTCCCGCAAGGAACTACAAGGGGAAAACACCAAGAAATTTCCAGGTTTGAGTTATGCTATTTTGAATGGTGTATGGATGGGGCTTTACTAGGAGGCACAACTGCAGGCCTTGGAGACTAGGACACAGGGACTCCGCCTTCTTCTCCTGCTCCCCTCTGCTACTGCCTCAGGTAAACAGTCTGCCCTCCTACTGGTGGCTCTCAGCTCTGGCCAAGTTCTAGGTAGCAAACAAGGCATGTAAAATATGTAGCTGTGAGGGACTAAGAAAAACAAGTGAAGACTAACACTGAGCAGAAACCCCCCTTACAAATCCCTTGGGCTAATTAATTTTTAAAGTCTCCCATTCAGTTACTCCCCCGGCCTGACGCTGCTTAGCTCGCGCGATCAGACAAGATTCAGGGTGGTATGACCATGGACAATGCTTACAATCTAAAGATGCTTCTTCCTGATGGGCAGAGGATGAGGCCTTGATCTCAGGGCCAGGAGTGCCTGACTAGCCATCCCATGCCTGGCTTTCTCCTGTGCAAGGCTCAGCTCCCTAACCTGTCTAATAATTAGGGCTATTTCAAACTAAGTTTACCCTTGTCTGACAAAATAGCCAATATCCCACGGGAAATAAGCTCACAAACCAAAATAACAAGACATTTGAGGAGCTACGTGAAATGAAAATAACTTAGCAGGACATATTCCACCAAAAGCAGAAATACTAGCACATACACACAAAAAGTTTGCCTAATACTAATATGAAAAGAGATAATAGAAGTCGTTAGCAATTTGAAACAAGAACAAGAAAGTATAAAAAGGGCCAGGAAAAAAATACCAAACATGAGAAGATACTAGTTAAAATTTAAAAATTATAAACGAAAGAGATAGCAGAAAGAATTAGCTAAGGAATGGGTTAACAATGGAAAGACTGAATTGAGGGGGAAAAAATCCCAGAGGGAAGAAGGGAAAGGCAAAGAAATACAAAATGTAAGATAAAATGGAAGAGGTGATGAGCCAGGGAAATAGAAGTAGTAACACCAAATAGCAGGACTTCTAGAAAGAGGAAACAATAATGGAGAGAAGGAAATATTTGAAGAATTAGTGGAGAGAATTCTTCTCTTTTTCCCTGCGTGAAAGAGAAGGAGGAGGAAGTGGAGGAGGAGGCGGCGGCTTCAGATTGAAAGAGCCAGAGAGTCCCAAAGAGGAGACATAAGAAAGAAACCCACACTGGGCATTAATAAGAAAATATAAAAATATTCAAAATAAGGAGAAAATTATGAAAGCTCCTAGAAAACAAGGTCCTGCATTAATAAACAAGGGTTAGATTAATTTCAGATGTTTCAATAGCAACACTGGAATTACCCATAGCCAAAAAAAAAGAAATTAAATAATAGTGTAATGTTTTCAAAGCATTGAGGGAAAGTATTAGAACCATAAAACCAAGAAACTTCATTTACCAAGTTGCTATTTAAATATGAAGGGGAGATAAAAATAGTTTCAGGCATCAAACCCCTCACACTACCACAAGAAGTCTCACACTGAAATCAGTTCTGTGTTAAGTATTTCAAGAAGAGAAAATATAGAAAAGATAATGTAAGATGTGTATGAAGCTTAGAAGGATTTGATGTTGCCTTGCACAGTAGTTGCAAGCAAAGACAAAGAGAAATTACAAGCCTAGTGACCCAGAATTAAAAGCCAGATCAGTGGTTCTTAAAAGTGTGATGCCTGGACCAGCAGCAGCAGCATTGCCTCAGAATTTGTGACAGATGAAAACCTACCAAATCAGACCCTGCCAAATCACAGGCCCAGCAGTCTGTGATTTAACAAGTCTCCCAGTGATTTGGATACACCATTAAAGTTTGAGAATCACACTGGTCTCAAAAGTGTGGTTTGTGGACCCTTGAAAATCCAAGACTCTTTCAGGGAATCCACAGGGGCAAGACAATTTTCATCATAATTCTAAAATGTTATTGCCTTTTCACTTTCTCCCATGCGTGTATAAAGGAGTTTTTCAGAGGCTATAGGATTTATCAAGTTTTTTAAATGTAGTAACAAATTGAGAATCTAAGACAGATAAAAGAGATTGGCCAAATGTAAAGCAATGTCACTCTTTTTTTTAACATTTTTTATTGATTTATAATCATTTTACAATGTTGTGTCAAATTCCAGTGTACAGCACAACATGAACATATATATATATATATATATATATTCATTGTCACATTATTTTCTCTGTAAGCTACCCTAAGATCTTGTGTATATTTCCCTGTGCTATACAGTATAATCTTGTTTATCTATTCTACAATTTTGAAATCCCGTCTATCTCTTCCCACTCTCCACCCCCTTGGCAACCACAAGTTTGTATTCTATGTCTATGAGTCTATTTCTGTTTTGTATTTATACTCTGTTTGTTTGTTTGTTAGATTCCACATATGAGCGATCTCATATGGTATTTTTCTTTCTCTTTCTGGCTTACTTCACTTAGAATGACATTCTCCAGAAGCATCTATGTTGCTGCAAATGGCATTATGTTGTTGGTTTTTATGGGTGAGTAGTATTCCATTGTATAAATATACTACCTCTCCTTTATCTAGTCACCTGTTGATGGACATTTAGGCTGTCTCCATGTCTTGGCTATTGTAAATAGTGCTGCTATGAACATTGGGGTGCAGGTGTCATCCTGAAGTAGGGTTCCTTCTGGTTATATGCCCAGGAGCAGGATTCTTGGGTCATATGGTAAGTCATACCCTAGTCTTTTGAAGAATCTCCATACTGTTTTCCACAGTGGCTGCACCAAACTGCATTCCCACCAGCAGTGTAGGAGGGTTCCCCTTTCTCCACAGCCTCTCCAGCATTTGTCATTTGTGGATTTTTGAATGATGGCCATTCTGACTGGTGTGAGGTGATACCTCATTGTAGTTTTGATTTGCATTTCTCTGATAATTAGTGTTACTGAGCATTTTTTCATGTGCCTATTGATCATTTGTATTTCTTCTTGGAGAATTGCTTGTTTACGTCTTTTGCCCATTTTTGGATTGTGTTGTTTGGATGTTTCTTATTAAGTCATATGAGCTGCTTATATATGCTGGAGATCAAGCCTTTGTTGGTTTCATTTGCAAAAATTTTCTCCCATTCTGTAGGTTGTCTTTTTGTTTTACTTATGGTTTCCTTTGCTGTGCAGAAGCTTGTAAGTTTCATTAGGTCCCATTTGTTTATTCTTGCTTTTATTTCTATTGCTTGGGTAGACTGCCTTAGGAGAACATTTTTGAGATGTATGTCAGATAATGTTTTGCCTATATTTTCCTCTAGGGGGTTTATTGTAACTTGTCTTATGTTTAAGTCTTTGATACATTCTGAGTTTGTTTTTGTGTATGGTGTAAGGGAGTGTTCTAGCTT